ATGAACCTGTGTTGGTTGCCCCTAAGCATAATCTCCCCTGCTGGCCCCTTGTGGATATGTGCTAGTATAATTTTCTCAAAAAGCTTACCCAGGATTGAGGTAAGACTAACTGGCCTATAGCTTCCCAGGTCCTCCTTCCTCCCCTTTTTGAAGATGGGAACCACATTGGCCCTCTTCCAGTCCTCAGGCACCATTGCGTATGAGGCTTTAATTGCGTATACGGGCAGTCCTCAGACTTACAACACAATTAGTTCCTGAGAACCGTGTCTTAAGTTGAAACATTGCAACTTGGAACTGATTTTTCCCATAGGAAACAATGTTATAAATGGGGGATTGGATCCTGAACCAAGGCCCAATACCCTATTTCGGTGGTCTCCAAACTTTTTTGATTGCGCACCCCTATCAGTAAAAAAAAAATTTTTGAGCACGCACTCACAATATATGTATATTTATATTTGCGCACCCCATCAGTAAAAAAAAAAAAAAAAAAAATTCTGAGCACGCACCCCCAATATATGTATGTTTATATAAATATAAATAGAAGTTCTAATATTTTCTTCCCGCACCCCAATGGATCGTCTTGTGCACCTGCTGGGGTGTGCGCACCCCACTTTGGAGACCACTGCCCTATTTGCACCAAAAATAACCCAGAATTTTGTACTCAATCAATTATAGACACAGATACATTAATGTATTTCTATTGTAAATAGCAATCGCATTGATTTGGAAGGACTTGTTTGAGGTGACTTGACTGGACTTTTTGAAGGGCTGCTGGTTGGACTTTTTGAAGGGTTCTTGGCTGGAGTCTTCTCAGGAGTCTGGGCTGCAGGTTTTTCTGGAGTCTTGTCTGCTTTCTTAAAGAAAGTGTCCAAGGAAGTTTGGACAGATGGGAGATGGGTGACACACCAAGCACTGTAAAGTCAAAACTGACATCAGAAAGTTGAAACAGGTTGTCAATTTATAAACATTTTAAGTGTGAACTGTTGTAACTCAAAACATTGTAAGTTGAGGGCTGCCTGTATTTGAAACATATCAATCATAATATTACTTAGAGAGTGCTTTGGATAGATGGAGATACATCCTGGAAAGGCAGGGTCTTTCTGTCAGCATGGAGAAACAGAGTGCATGTATCATGCACAATTTCAGGCAATAGTGAGGGGAACATACCTATGGCAGAGGATGAGTAGCACATATTTGGGGTCCACTGTGCAGGAAAATGGAAAGACATGGGGAAATTCAAGGGTGTAATGAAGTGGAGGGAAGTGGAGTGGCTTGTGACAAGAAAATGACAGTTTGTCTGTAGGTGGAATTTGCAAGACGGTGATGAGGCTAGGGCTGTTGCATGGATCAGAATGTTGAACAGTGAAGAAAGTTGCCCATGATAGAGGTGGCAGAGATGAGACAGATTTATGATTTTGTGATGGGACAGATCTGTTTACCTGCTGAGGTAGATTTATGGATTTACCAAGAAAAATCCTTTAAGAAACAAGGAGGTGCCACAGCAGGCAGAGGTGGGGAGGAGGACATTAGTAGAGGAAAATCTGAGAGAGAGCAGTCTGAAATGGGTTGGGCCATGTACCTAGAAGTCCTGAAGAGTATGTAGGAAAGAGTTCAGGCCATGAGAGTCAAGGATAGGAGAAAGAGAGGAAAACATAAGAAGATGCAGCAGGAGTATGTAAAACAAGACCTGTGAACACCTAGCATTTCAGAAGACAGTGATGGGCTAAAGTTTGTGGAGTATGAAGACAAGGAAAGTGGACCCTGTCTAGTGGGGGGAAATGGTTGGAAGGAAAAGAACATGATTGCTTTGTAGTGTTAGTTCAGGGCACAGTTAAAAAGGTTTGGATGTCCTCATTTCTTATTTCTACACCTTAATATGTATGGCTTTGCTTAAAGTTTAACCTTATTGCTTAATTTCCTGGAATTTTAACAGTTGGTTTTGGATAATTGTAATGTAATGTGTCCCTATAAAGTACCATATAATATTACATGTCGGTCACAACATTCATTCTGTACTAATGCATGTTTCGTCTGGGATCATATCTGTTTATACATATCCACACATTATGTATAACATTTGGTCAGAACCTGAGCTGCTCTAAATCAACCTAGCCCCAGTGGAGCGACACTAGTTTATGCAAAGATGATCATGCACATAATGTGATCGTGTAACTGACATGTAGAGTTCAATACACTTTTCTAGGTGCCATGGCAGTTTCTGCCCTGAAAAGTCAAATGCAACAATATGCAGGTAGCAAATTTCTTAGGTTATGCTGCATGTTTGGTACTAGAAAATGTGTTACTGCCTGTTGAACTGCTTCACCTCAAATCCCTACTCCAGCAATGAGATTGGGCTTCCTCAGGTGTGCAGGAGTCTGCCTGTGTGGACTCTGGATCATCGATCATATTATCAGTGTGAGAAGGAACGCAAACTTCCTGCTTGAGCAGTGCAGGGAAAAGCCAAGGCAATTGCGTTTGGAAGCTAAAATACACTATGTTCTACCATCTTTTTCTCTTTGAATCTCCCCCTGTATTACAGGGAAGACTAGAGCTGGGGAATCTCATATAGCAATCATTGGGTTAGTCCCAATAAGAATGTGATTCTCCTTGTAGGTGAGCTCATGTAATCTTACTGTTGACACAACTAAGACCAGGATGAAAAAAATAGTTTTGGGGGGGGAAACCAAAATTTGTTTTTAAGGGATTTAAAATTAGCCTATTTGCAACTTATTTTCATGCAAGTTTTATTAGTCTTTGTTGTACTTTGATTATTTTTCACTTACAATAATATCATTTTTTTTTAAGAAATCAAAATTTCAGTAACTGTTTCAATAAAAGTTACTATTTTAACATTGCTGTGTAAATGTTCCTAAAAATAAGTCAATAAGGACAATTTTATGAAAGGCTTCCTGTTTGGAAAAAGCTGCTTTTTTCCCATGGAAAATGTTTTTATTTGGTTGGGGGGGCATGCTGGAATTTAGCAGCTGTTTGGGCACAGGTCCAAGGCATAAAAGCTATAAAAATAGTATCAAGCCAAATATCCATCCCAGAATATACTGCTTTTCAGTCAGTGTCAGATTCCCACTGTGATCACTCTTCTACTGCTTTACCTAGCTTTCTGTCTTACTGCATATAACACATACTAGGCCACATAGTAATTTTCCAGCTGAAATTCTGTTCATCCCCAATTGCTTCATTGTTGCCAGAGTTTCAGGATAGGAGTGCTTTGATAGTTCTTGAAGGAAACCTTATATTGCTTTTCTTTTTTTGATTAGCCTGAAGAAAAGATGAGGGATCTTAGGATGCTCATTTCAGTATATTCACAGAGCTTGGTCCTGGGAATGGTGCCATTTTAAGAAGAAAACAAATTGGCTAATATCTATAGCTACATGGCATGGACTGACAGAATTTACAGGAATATGTACAGCAGTCTGTATTTAATTGCATAGCCTCAGGACTGACAAAAGGCTGTGTACATACATAAAGTATGCACTTCTTTAATACTAATGCACATTAATTAGTGAAACAGGCTGCGCATAGCTTTTCAGCACACATTACCTTGTTTCTCAGTGCTCCTTATGCCTATAATATTCTCCTTGAAATTGCTATGACCTAGTTGGTTCAAGTCTGCTTTAGCAATCTTGAAAGTGAAGAAGCTTCTACATTTATTTAGTGAAACAGAGTTTAGTTGTATTACAAGGTAGACAGTGGGCTCAGAGAATTCTTATACATTGCAAGTGGTTTATGCATGTAACTGATATGCAGAAAAACAGAGATTTGTTGCAATATATAAGCAACAGGCAACAAATTAGGACCAGTATTACATTATGCAGGTAAGTGAATTATGCACTTATTTGATATACATGTGCAGTGAACTGTACTTGATGTATTCACGCAGAAGTGACTGGTAACTTTGTGCACCTTCATTGTTTTGAGTATTTTACCTGATTCTTTTTCAGAGCTGGATGCTCTGCACTTAGATCAGCAAAATGAGAGGGTGATTTCCAGGCTTTCAGGTGGCACTATCTTGAGTATTCTTACCTAGTTATAGATCTAGGGGTATTGGAAGATGTTCCCTTAGCCAATTGAAACAAAGAGTCAAAATCTCAAAAATATTCATGAATCAGAAATCCTTCTTCCTTCCTCCTCCAAAAAAAAAGGAAAAAAAGCTTGGGGCCAAGTAAAGCATTTTGAGAATTTGGAAACACTGTATTTCAATTGTTTATAACTTTACAATTATTTTTACAATAGGAAGGTTAAATTTTTAAATAATAAAATTTTTTAATGCAGACTTGGCAATTTATCACTTAAAATGTATCAAAACAAAACATTTCACCAGTTTCAAAACTCTTTAAATGAGAGCTGTCCTACAAACAACTTCAGTTTTGATGGACTGGTGCTTTCTGATAAGAAAAAATTCCGTCGGAAAAATTCCCTACTAGCTTTTGACTTGGTTCAGAAGCTTGCAGTCAGTTAGCAGACCATTTCAGATTGCATCCAGCTATTTCACAAATATTTTGCTATCTATATCTACTGCCCTAAGAACAAAAAGTGAGAGCTTAATTATTTTTCCACTAAGATACTGCACAGTTTAATGCTGTATTATTTTTTGATCGTTTATCCTGTGCAGTACAATCCTGTACATGTAAAAGTGATTAAGATCAGCCTTTATCAGAGGATACCACCATGTATCTTATTGATGTGGAAAAGAAACACTTCTTGATGAGAACAATGCTTTGTTCCCCTTGTTGTCTCAGATCTTATTTTAAAATACTTTTTTCTTTTTTTCCTCACTGATAAAAATGGCAATGAAAACTTTGAAAACTGACTTAGTTTTTGAGGTGCCTCAATTTGTGGTTGTCCCATTTAAGGCTCATTTACAAATGCCTAGATTTCAGAAAGAGCTGAGTGCCCTTCTTTTTAGTATGGCATCCCTTTAAAGTGTCTCAAACTTGTATCTACAAAGTGAGGACCCCTATATTCGCTGCCCTCTTAAATATTTAGCCCTTGTAGTGTCAGTCTGTTTCATATAATTATAAATAAAGCTGTTTGTTTTCCTTTGAAATCAGTTCTTAAATATTAAGAGCAGTCACTCATGTTGAAACAAAGATTCTTTGTCTTTTGCACAGACTGATTACAAGGAATTGTTAATTAATATTACTGAAAAACTAACTAATATTCTTCCTTCTCTTTGTTTTGTCAATAAAGAAGTACCACCATGTGAAAGGCAGTACATTTCTGAGGTGTTACTGTGACAAAGAAGGTTGTGTAGGCTGAGGTCTAGCCTGCAGTTCTTGTTGGGAGCACTGTGAACTCCCAACAAGAGTTCATAGTTGGGGAAGGGGTCAGTATGAAGATATGTTGATGAAAATAGCTTTATAAGCGGGACACCTTTATGCCCTCTTCACTCCAAGGGGGCAAATGGCAGTCTAGGCCTGACAGCAGGCCACAGGCTGCTCTTTAATTAGTTCCCCATAACTTAATATTTCATTGTATTGGGTGAGTGTTGTCCCCCCGTTAAGACTATAGTTTGAGAACTGTGTCATTGCAAATGTGACCAACTGAGCTTGAGGAGAAGGAGTGAGGCTCAGAGTTGGGGAAGAGAAAAAGAGAAGGTCCCAGGGCAGATGGGGAGAAAAGGAATAGTCCCAGGAAGGATGCAGTAAAGTTTGAGTGAGGACGGAAGGAACCGAAATAGCACAATAAAGAGTGTTTTGGAATGGAGTCTGTTGTGCTGTTTGGAACATCTGCACTCTGATATGCCTACTGTAAGGGCACAGACAGAAATGACAATTTTTGCCCAGTCTGGCTCCAGAAAGCGCTCTACAGCCATGACCAAACAAGTACACACTAAAACACCTTTGTGTGTTAGTTCAAAAGTGCACTGCCTCCATTTTCTCAGTGCTGACGTGCATTTTGTCATTTTATACATATGCACACACTGCTTTTAAAAGTGCCCAGCGCTGTGGTGCAAGTACATGTACAAATTCCCTACGAGGAGAAAGCACTCCTGTCCTTCCTGGGAGCTGTTTTTGTTTGTTTGTTTGTTGTTGTTGTTTTTTAAAAGGAGGAGCTCTCTGAGTTGGGTCCTGTACATCACTGGGGAGGCCAGGGACTGAGAAGAGCCAGGGTCTCAAAGCCAGAGTCTTCCCCCTTGTGAAGTCATGCTAAGGCTGGCTGCTGGAGGCCATCTCGGGAGAGGGAGACTGAATAAGGCTTCTTGGATTGAGTACCAAGAAAGAGCCGTCTCCTCCCCTTGGAAATGGGTGTTTGATCCTTCCTGACGGTTAGTATTTCGTACTTTGGGATGTGCTGTGAAGACCAGATAATTTTAAGCAACTCAATTATGCCCACTCTAAAACAGTGCATCACGGCCTCTTTCAGTTAGAAATGTAACTACTTAAGATTAAAAGGTCATGTTCATATGTGAACTCAGGACTGCTGATGCTAGTATTTTGTCCAGAATTCAGACTCATTAGAGCCCATCAAGTTAAATGTGCTCTTAGAGCATGATACTTGGGGTACAAATAATTTGTCTTTGTGCCTGGCAGCTCAGTGATGCTGCAGAAAGCACATCTGTTTTCTCTCTTAAATGCAATGGTTGGTAGTGTGCCACACTGAAATCTTTGAAAATGACTTGATTTAGACCTGATTCCACTGAAGTCTACAGCAGAATCTCAGATTTCAGTGGTACAAGATCAAATCCTCTCTGCACAGAGCCAGTACAGTGTGACCAGCAGCAGCCCAGTCTTCCCAGTGCTCAATTGCTGGTACACCTCAGCAAATGTCAGTGAGGATGTGAGAGGAGCTCCTTCTGGATGTTTGGCCAGTCCCTGGTTTCTTTGTACTAGCAAAACTCCAGTTGTAAGGTAGACTGTTGTAAGGTGGGCTAGGCTGAGATCAGCAGCTCATTTTTACAATAAGCCTGTGCACGTCCATTCACCTGGTTGCTAGTAGTAGTTCCTGTTCATGTGATTTTAGGTTTCAGCCTGTGACTGAGTTTCTGGGCTCTGTTTTCTTTACCCCGTACTGAAAAACTTGACTTCTCTTGAATAATGAAATGTTTGAACATTTTCAGTGCACCATATTAAGGCAGGGGAGCTTGCTTCATGGGAGAAATCCACCTTCGTGTTGACAGCCCAAATTAGCTTTATGCACTACTTAATAGGGAGCTTAAATGAGGCCATATGACTATCCTGGGGCCTCAACTGGGTAAGTTTCATGCCTGGTGGTTACCTGCTCTAACAGATCCTGTAAAGGCAGTTTGTGTTTTGTATGACGTAGCTGAATGTAGGAGCTGCAAATAGGCCTGGATGTTAGGCAGGAAGCTTCAGAAGGTCTTGAGGGCAATCTCTTGTCCTGTTCCAACCAGATTTCAGCTAGATGGGCTCCTCAACCTATTAGGTACTTTGGAAATCCCAGTCATAATTCCTCTTAGAATGAATCTATTTGGAGCAACCAATTTCACCTTGCTTTGCTGCCAGCTAAGGGGCAGTATGACTTTCTAACTCAACATGTCTCTTAGCCCCTTTCCTCTGAGAGAACTTTCTTGTTTATGAGAAAAAAGTCCCTGCCACTGTGTGCCAGAATCTGAGAAGGGCATTGAAGTTGTTAAGAATGGCATGAAATGCATTACCTTGTACTATGAGAAAAGTGGAAGAAAAAGACTTAAACTAGTTCCTAGTGTAGGTGTGGACCCTGCAGAGCAGCAACAGTGTTGCATTTTGTACTAATAGTCTTTTTTGCTGTTAGAATTAGATGGGGCTAGAAGTGAGTGGACCAAAAAATGACTTCTCTGGAGACCAGTCCCTTTAGCTCAGAAGTTTGTTTCATTGTGAAGACAGGGAAGTATCCATTGCCAAGATCCAGCATATCTCACTAGCACAGTGTACTAGCAGTTTAATAGACTGACATATAAGATGTGGTATCAGTAGAGTTTTAGCCTAGACTGTTTAGACAAAGAACAGCAAATGACACCAGAGATAAACAAGCAGGGAAGGAAGAGAGGGAGAAAGGCACCCAACTTTAATAAGAGAGGCTTACTGTGCTATTTCATCTCCTGCAATTAAATACACAGTGGGAACGTGCAGCGCTGGCTGGCTTCTCCCATTACTGCTGACTTTGTGGGGAACAGGGTTAGGGAGGCGTGTGTGTGTGTGTGTGTGTGTGTGTGGGTGTGTGGGGGGGGGGGTGCTACTCATACAGTTTGTACAGAATGAGCTTATAACTCTCTTGCATTCTCTCTCTTCTTCAGCACTTGTCGTTGCAGTTCTCCGTTTCATACAGCTGAAGCCAAAGGTGCTAAACCCTTGGCTGAATGTTAGTGGGCTGGTCGTATTATGCTTGGCCTCATTCGGAATGACCTTACTTGGCAACTTTCAGGTATCTTGCTCCCAGTTCCTCCTCTTTTTCCTTGGTAGCCAACGTGGTTCTTTCCTGGGTGGCCGTGGGCATGTTGCGTGGTCTGCATCCATTACATTGGCAAAAGGCTTGTCGTATCCGGCTCTAAACAAGTAATTTCTGCTCTAATAATGCCACACTTCATTGGCTGACATCATATTTGCTTGGATCTTGTGCCACAGCCCTATAAAACATGTCATTGTTAGATCATTGTACATGCCTTTCCGTGTCCTACTGCTGAAAGGGAACACTGTAAAATCTATTTTGTACGTGGCTTTCATTCAAGAGTGTTTGGAAAAGAATTATGCTAAAGGACAGAGTTCCATCTGCTGCAGGCCACCACAGCAAAGGCAGCTCAGTCCCTTGGTGGCTGAACCAGCTATCTTTCTAATTATATGTTTGGCACAACTGCCGATCATATACTGTCTTCCACATGAAATTGATTGTAATAGACAAATCCCTAGTGGACTTCAAGGAGTCTTTAACTTTTAGTTTTTTTTAATAAATTCTCTTGATACAGCTGTTTTGACTTGGTTAGTCTGCCATGTTTTTTGTTAGTTTGCTTACCATTCGCATGGGGATAGGTGTCCATCCTTCAGTGCTGCTAAAACTGCCTGTGTGTTGTATCCTGATCTGAACCCTGACTTTGCAGTTGGCTGGAACATTCTCAGAGATTTTGCCCACAAATGATTGAACTCCTGATTAAAGGTGGGGTGTAGCAGAGATGAGCAAAGATGAACATCTCTGGGGGTAGTGACAGCCTTGGAGGTGGGGCTCATATTAGGGAATCCTTGTTCAGTTTACTTGTAATGAGAAGGCTTTGTCTACAGTGGGTATTCAGATTATACTACCAACTTTTGTAATGACCACCTTACCACTTGGTCCTTGCTAAGGAGGGTGTGAAAACTCAGAGCCTGAGTATGATGGCAGGAGATATTCCTGGCATTGCTTTAAGTATAAAGGATTATGACAAAGTGAGCACTATGGGACCAGAACATTTTAGTGAACCAGGGTGCTTGTGCTCTGCATTTGGTTTTCTCTTGCTCTTGGTGCTGGTGTGAGGCCAGGAGACAATTAGGCCTTACTGCAGAACATATTGAGGAGTACTTACCTCTTCTAAGAATCACTCTGGAAGAAAGCATCCCTCTGTCATGGTATAAGACCTGCAGGGGTGGGGGTTGGTCCCCTGTTGGTCAATATAGCAGCATTTGGGTGAAAGGGGCAGAGACTATATGTGGTCAAGTCACCAATTCACCACTGTATATGTATTTTATATTGCAGTTGGGGCCAACCTTTCTGGCAGCCATGCCACTGATCTCCTTCCTTTGCCCAATGGGCTTCTCTGCTTTCTGCTCTCTGCCATATCTACCACTGTGCTGCCTGCCCCCTCCTCAGTCTGTCATGTGCTCCACACAGACTGCCCATGCCACAGGCTGGCCACCCCCAGTGTGGTGAAGCCACAGCTCCTCTGCCTTGGTTGCATGCTCTTCCAGTCTGAAATCACAGATGCAAGAAGCTGAGTGGTAGTATTGCATCCTAACCCTAAGCTTTTGTTTAAGTGGATTGACTTTTGGCTACCTGAGCTCCATGCAAGAGAGAGCTGTGATAGTTGGGGGTAAAGTGAAGCTTCTTCTCTGAGGTCAGGGAAAGTGGACTTCTAACTGAAGCACTTCGGTTGCAAAATAAGTGAATGGTCCAGTTCTGCCTTTCTGAATAGGAGCCACAGACTTTGTATTGATTAACCCAAAGGGTTATTCTCTTTTGTTGAGACTACATTGACTTCCTCAGTGAAGAACGAATTTGACTCGCTTTGGAATACTATGGGTATAGCAACTAACTTCCCTAAACAGATTGTCTCTTTTTAAGTGAATCTCTCTTCATTAGGGCTGTGCACAATTTTGGCAGCAGTTTTGTTTTGGGGGTGTTTCGGCCCATTTCAGCGCCTGAAACGCCAAATCCGAAATGAAACGAGGCTCCGAAACTAAACGAAACCATCTAGAATATTTTGAAAGTGCCTCTGAGAAGTCTGGCACAGCCCTGCAGCCCTCCTTTTAAAGTGCTGGGGGGTTGGGGCCAGGCAGGGCAGTCATGGGGGGCTTCTCCCACAGCTCCCCCCACCCGGGGAGAGGCAGGCACAGTTGGAGGAGCCGTGGGAGAACCTGCAGCTGCCCGGCTGTGCTTGCCTCTCCCTGACCGATCTGAATCTCTGAAACAACATTGAAACTGCAAAACAGATTTGGCTGAATCTAAACAGAATAGCAATCCTCCAAAACAGCCAAATCAGAAACCAAACCAAACCAAAACATAGCCATTTTGCGCAGCCCTACTGTTCACAGATAAAAGCTCAGATTTTTTTTTTTCGAAACTTCATGGATGATTTGGACATGTGTACCCTCTTCAATTGGAGTTGGGCACCCAAAGCCAATCAGCTGCTTTAAGAAATTAGGTTACAGCTTCATTTTCCCAGGCTGCTCATGGCTTCTTTGCCTTGCTTGTTACATTCCACGTGACTTGGCTTTCCCTAATTGAAGGCATTGAGACCCAAGAGTGAATATATAACTATGGCCCAACACTGAAGGCTCTAAACAAAAGGCTACTCTGCCTGCTAAAATTCCACTGAAGTCAGTGAGTGTCCACCTGCCCACATCTATTTCACTGCAGGGTCGGGGCTTATGGGCTTTGCCAGTAGTAACTTTTAATTCAGCAGTGCCAGGGTTCCAAAAAATTGTCCCAGTATGTGCTGATCACCATATAGAACAGGGGAAGCACTTTTTGAAGGAGATTCATTCTCCTTGCCTCACAGGTGGTAGGAGAAGGACAGGAATTCCTGCAGGACATGGCATTTTCCAGTGTTTTTTATTATGGGAGGAAAATCTGCTTGTAGCCGTACCTAATCTGTAAACCACTGTCCTGCTTGTGGTTTTCTTTTGTTGTAGCTACATAGGAACATAGCTTTATCTCACCATTTTTTCTTGCCTTTTGCTTCACTCCCAAATAAGCAGGATCATCAGGAAGATTTCTGTAAATGGTGCTTGATGTATTAGAAGCTCACAAGTTCCCTCTTATTCTACAGCTTTCCAATGATGAAGAGATACATAATGTTGGCACCTCCCTGACATTTGGTTTTGGAACCCTGGCCTGCTGGATTCAGTCTGCCTTGACGCTCAAAATAAACTTAAAGAATGAAGGACGAAAAGTTGGAATCCCACGAGTCCTCTTATCTGCTACTATAACCCTATGTGTGGTCCTCTGTATCCTTTTGTCTTGTCGGCTGGAAGTACAGGTGCCTATGCATAAAAAGCCTGCCTATCACTGAAGTAGAGGTTTTAATAGAGTCCTGTAAAACCTGCGTTCTCCAAGCATTTATGAGCACCAGGGAATTCTGCTTGATACTGATTCCCTGAAGTCTTTGAGGATGGTTTTCCTGCTTTACAGGGACATTGAAGCACAGAGGGATGGTGGCTTGCCCAAGGTCACTTACACAAGAACAGAGGCTGTGTCCATGTCCTGTGCCCAAAACACAGTCCCTTCCTCCCTAGTCACTTGAATTTGAATTTTCAAAGAATGAAGTTCTCTTTATGGCCTAGTTCTTTAGTCTCTGCCTGCACAAAATGTGATGGAATTTGGATGCATACATTTGTGTGTTCCAAGGGCTTTAAGATGCATCAGTCCTGTCACCTGAATGCATACTTGTTACACCCTACAGTCTTTTAGGTGTTAGGGATGGAAAACTGGAGCCCAAAAGGAGATTACTCTTTGAAAACCATGTCCAGAGGAGATGCAAGTTCTGTTTTCAGGTTGGCTAATGATCTGATGTGAGACCTGGGATGGTCACTGAATTGTTCCGTAGCTTAGATATCCCATCTCTTTTTAAAGGAGAAAAACCTTGCTTACCCTCCCGATGAGAGAGACACCTGGAAAGAACTTCCTGTGTACTGAATACCATAGTTCTTAATGGGCAAATTCAGGCAAGCACTTCAGTGGGTGCTACATGTGCAATTAACGTGCCTGAATTTTCTGCACAGACAATACAGGCTCATTAAAGCACTCCCCAGCACATGTCTATGCATGCGCCCCTGTTGGGAGCAAACTGAGCTCAATAGGAGCAGCCCAGTACTCCTGCCATGCTCTCATAGGTGACTGGTAGGGGGTGCACCTGCCCCCTCTGGCCAATGCCATCAGTAGGGCCCCCGTCTCTGCTGCCAACAGCAGCTTCTGTGGGTGTTTGCCAGCCCTGCCTCTGCTGCTGATGCCACTGGCAGCTTCAATGGGTGCTTGCCAGCCATGTCTTCACCGCCAATGCTATTGGTGGCTTCTGCAGGTGCTCCTGATTCAGGAGGCACCAGTTACCCATGCCTGCTCTGCCCCCCTGCAGCAGCCGAGGGGAGATTGGGCTGGCCCTGAGTGGGGTTAGGGGCAGAGGAGGGAGGTGACCCAGCTGGGTGGGCAGCTATCTCTCAGCCAAGTGGAGATTCGGATGCGTCCCAGTCTCTACATGACTGGGAGGCAGTGTCTCGCTAAGCCGGGACAGCTCTCCCTACCCCTGTGGCCCCCTGCTGCCTAGGTTGACCAGGAACAACTTGCTTCTGGTCAGTGTCTATACATGCGGTACGGTGCATTAGTGAATGTGCTGTTTTTTTAGTACCTGTGTCTACAAGTACTAGAAAACGGCACATTAGACTGTAACATACTGAGCAGTAATTGCCATGCATGTTTGGATAGTGATTCTTTACTGCACATTAGATTAGTCTAATGCATAGTAAAGCATCTTGTGTAGATGCACCCAGTGTGAGCTTTACTTTGAGTGTGTGTGTGTGTAAGTATAAGGACGTAGTAAAGTGCTATCAGGAGTCTGAAATGTTTTAAGGACTCAGGGGCCTGGTGCCTTTTCAGCCTCAGCTGATCAACTACAATCCTCTTGTTTAGACTTTCTTACAGGTTTTGAGTATTTCACCTGCAGTCCTGAGCCCTCCCTCTTTCAGCCTTCCTTCCCATTCTGCTTGTTTCCTTGACCATATTAGTTTTTCTTGTAGTCCTTAGTGGCAGTGATTTAATCACCAGATCATCGGGCTTTAACTTCATGTTCTAACCTTTGTACAGCATCACTATACGTGAATTCTGCACTGCAGTAAGAGGTGGTATAACAGGAGATGTCTCCTGGATTGTTATCACATTCCTGTCAAGAAACTAAACCACTGAAAGCTGTAACTAAACTTTTTAAATTCCCCTTGTTCAGAGCAGATATCATTTCCCAGGTCAGAAGAGGGGTTTTGAACACTTATTAACTGTTCTAGAAGCTGTTTTACCATAAAATGATATCTAATATCAGACAAATAAAGCAACAAGACTACACCATTATGTAGAGCAATATTTCAGATTTTGCAACATCTTGGGGAAAAAATAGGAAAAGAAGAAAAGATTAGAACAGAAGTAAGCAAAGTTCTATAGGTTTATTTCAGTAAAATTATCAGTAATTCATTTTCAATTATTTCGGTCGTTTTCAAAGAGGACCACTGACTCCTACTCACAATGAGATTTGGGTTCCTTGCTCGTTTTTTGACATTGGATGTATACTCAAAGTCATGTCGCTTCTGAAAATAATCACCCACAGTTGAGAAGTATACCAATTTGATGCCAAAATGGATAGCCTACCCCACTTCCAGCTACTGAAGTTTGTTTTCAGGAAGGGTTTGGCTCATGGTTTTGCTTATGTCTTGCTGATAATTTGCCAAACTAGATGCTTGCATGTTTTTCTTCCAGTGGTTTCTGTTCTAAAAGAGGATGCCTATGGTTGGTATAAGATTCTGCCCAAAGGCCTGCAGCAAGTTGGGTCTGGCAAAAGAACATTTTAATTAACTACATTAATCCATCGTTTGGAGAGGCTTTTCAAAATTGTTGTTGCCATAGATGTAGTGAGTCAGTGTTGAAGTACTCTCCAAATCTGTAGAAACTCGTGTCCTAACATGCTGAATGTTATTGGAATTTGATTACTTCACACCAGGTGACTCTCCTGTGCAGAGGGCTCGTAGCACAAGATTTGCATAGCACTGAAGTGCCACTTATAAAAGTCCCGTTTGGAAATTTGAGGTACTGGCTTTGAGCTACTCCTTTGCAGGGAGCAAATGTTATCTTTGAGCACAGTTCTCAAACAATCCTATGAACAGTGGAGGAGAAAGCTGGAAACATTTTAAAACTTGATTTTGGCCACAGTGGGTGCATCTACATGAGATGCTACTTCACAGTGGTTACTGTGCATTTATTTATTACTTTAGTAAAGTACTAAATAAATACACAGAAACTGGAGTTATTGCACAGTAGTGCTTTTATGTATGTCTGGTGAACGTCTCTGAAGTAGTCTACTGCGCAATAGCCTAATAATAACATGCAGTTAATGTATTAGCAGTATTACTTGGCTGCTGTGCAGTCAGCATCTCATGTGTTCAGTGCTGTTTACTCAGATGTGAGCTGTGACCTGCTTCTCAACAGCACAAAGTTGGGGGAAAATTTTTCAAGGTAATTTTGACTGTGATAAAAGCTTGACAGAATTTAGTGATTTCAGTTATTTGTTATGTAGCTTTGATGTATTGGACAAATGCTAATTTTGTGGGGGAGGACCATTTTCTATGCACTGGAAAATAAAGTTCTCAATGGGTGAATATAGGCCAGAGAAATAGGTTCTAACTTACTTTTGTGATGGATCTGAGCATGAAGCCGTGTGGAAGACTATTCATTACCAGCTGGGAACTTGCAAAGTTTTTACTAAGATGAAGATTACACAGCAGTATTCTAGAAGAGGCAGTGGGACAAGAGGTTGTCCATAAGCAAAGCAGGAGATCCGCCCCCTACTCTGTGTTTTGAAGGACCTTGTTACACTAGAGAAGTCCCTTGATGTGGCTAGAACCTCTGCTTCTTAGGGGTCCCACATATTTTAAACACATGTAATTGACCCCCCAACCTGGTAGTTTTCATACTGCAGATAGGACTGAAGTGTAATAGAGGAGAGTTAAATTTAATGTTCAATGTCATCAGCATTCAACACAGCAAGAAAAACTGGCAGGGGTGCAGTAGGTATGTCCACATCATTTTCATGATGGTCCTGTAGAGGGCTGGTTTCAAATACTCTTCAACCTGTAAATACAGTGGTGAAGTCATAAAATATAGATACTGGTCCTTTCCTTTTTTTTTTTTTTCTGGAGTTCCTTGGGTTAGGGACAGACATTACACACAAACCGGTTTAAGTGCTCAGAAACTGGTTTAAACCTGTAACAGAACAGATATTCAGTGTACATAAACCAGTTTCAAAATGGCTGAAACTGGTTTGAGCTAAACATGGTTGAATGTAGTATCAAACTTAACTGATTTGGGTCAAACCGATTTCTGCAATGTCTGTCCCAGACCCCTTGCTTGTTTAACTTAAACCAGACACCCCCAGCATCCTGGCATGCTCTCTGGGCTGAGCAGGGCTCTCTGCTCCACAGTAGAGCTGGCTCCTCCCCTCTGCTTCCTGGCTGCAGCTTCCCCCCTCCCCTCACCACTCCCTGCTAAGCAGAAATTCCCCCACTCCCCTCTGCCTTGCAGAGAGGTGTATGTGTATTAGC